GTTAGGATTTGTTGAAGGTGTTGGTGGTGCAAATTTGGTAGTGACGGTGGAAATCGAGTGTGACCAAATCTATTTTCACTATGAATGCCCGTGACCAAATTTATGTTAATTGTGATTGTATATGACTTGGTTATATATAGTCACAAATTAGATTGATATGATCACAAACAGTACACTAAATACAAAGTTTGTTACAGTTAGTAACTGATAACACAGGCCAGTGAAGATAATATTTATGGTCGTGAATTTGAGTTGAAGGTGGTAGTGGTGGTGCATTGGAGGTGATGCTAGTGGTGGATTGTGTTGTTAGTCCGCGATGTATGCATTTTTGTTTGTGGTGACACTCTGTGACCAAGTAGGTGTTTATTGTGAATGGTTTATGGCCAATCTTTATTAATTGACTGATTGCAATTTGATCACATACTACCACATTTAAGATTGACCTAATTACAGGCAGTCACATTGAATATAAATTTGGTCACAGCTAGTCACACCAAAGACAAATTCGATAAAAAAAAAAAAGTCATATATAACATAGGTCTCATAAATAACAAATCACAGTTAGGAACTAATAACACATGCCAGTGAAGATAGTATTTATGGTCGTAAATTTAAGTTGATGGTGGTGCATTGGAGGTGATGCTAGTGGTGGATTGTGTTGTTGGTTCGTGATGTCTATAGATTTGTTTGTGGCGACACTTTGTGACCAAGTATGTGTTTATTGTGACTGGTTTATGACCAATTCTGTATTAATTATGATTGATTGTGATTTGATCACATACTGTCACAATTAAGATTGACCTGATTAAATTTGATCATAATTAGTCACACTAAAGACAAATTTGATAAAACATAGTCACATATAACATATGTATGGTCATAGATAACATAATTAGTCACAAACTGCAATCTACAATGCACCACTATTGCAACAATAACTTCTGGAAATTCTTTTACTATGGTATGGGTTGTTTCGTAGGGTGTAGTGCGATCGCCGAAGCTGATGGCCATCTCTGGTGGTGAGATGGAGGAAATGCGGTGTAGTGGGGGTGATGGGAGTGGGATGGGGATGGGTCTGTGGGATTGGGGTAGGGTCGAGGTGGGGTGGGTCCACAGCGTAAGGGTCATGAGTGGGATCTTGAGATATTAATAATTAGCCCTTGTTTGAACCCTATTCTTTGAAAAAAAAAACCATTTTTAAATTGTATTTTGACATCATTTTAACCACACATTTTTCAATAAAATAATATTACATGTAAATTCAAAATTTTTCTTTATCTTTTAACCACTCATTTCTCATCAATACACTATTCAAAAATTCATTCTTATTAAAAGAATGTGGTTCAAATAAGAGCTTAATATATTACTAATTTGGCGGATGGGGGTGCTAATTAATTGGGTAGAATCATTAATTCAAACTAATTATATACTGTATATACATTATTAAATTGAATTAACATCTTAATTTTTTGAAATAATTTGATAATTTTGTTATTTCTGAAATGTAATTCTTATTTGTAGGGGTTATGTATTGTTTCCATTTAAAATTTAGCCACCTATTTTAGAGGTCCAAGTCGTAAGCCCATCTAAAACATATTAGCCCGAATAATGACTACAAAACCGTCCAAAACATGCCCAAATTATTTATCGAAGATCAAGAAGGGAAAAAGGAATAGATCCAAAGAACTATGGGAAAACCCTTTTTTTTTTTAATCAAATTCTTCTACAAGGTAATTAAATTTCGGAAAATGCTAAAGAACCTGAGATTTAAGCCCGAGTTTCGTTCCAGGGGCATAGATGGCAGAGCCTCTGCCCCTGATTTTGATGGCGGGTCCCCACGTGCAGAAGATCAACGGCCAATGTGGAAAACCTCGACCCTGGATTGGAGCTCGAGATTTAAACCTGAGCTCTGTAGTACAGTTGTTAAATTACTAAACTCTAATTTTTCTAAATTTGTGGGGGTGGGATTATGATTTGTGGTTAAATATTGTGGATGCGAGTTTTTATGATTTTCAATCAATTTTTATACTCAGTTTTAATCCAATTTTACGGGATGTTAAATGTTTGTTAAATTTGTTTTGCTGATATTGGTTTTGAAATTGCATCAACTCATTGTTCGTTTGAAGCATAGCAATATTGGCAGGATTGAAGCTTTTTCTCTCTCATTTTATTATTATTATTTTTTACTTTTGACAATTAAAATTGTATTTTTGAATTTGTTTTGTTGCTATCTTAGTTATTTTAACTAAGAGTGCGTTTGATTGTCAATAATTTTTTTATAAAAAATATCATTTTTTTTACTCAAATTTCTACTTTTGAGCTGTTTGATTATTTTTTTGCATGAGGAAATATTTTCTTACTTTTGATCACGTGACTATATTTTCTTCAAAAATAAGAAAAATATTTTCTTTAGTTAAGTAAGATTTTATTTTCTAGACAATTCGCTCATTGTCTCACATATCACGTAAACTCAAAATTTTTCCTCATCCTTTAACCACACATTCTCCAAAATATTATTATTTTAAAATATATTTTCTCCCAGTATAATATTAAAATGGAGCATAAATGAGGTCTTGAGTTTTGCTATGTGCAAGGTAGTCCTCTCATCAATCTTGAATGTACAAACAGCAAAACTCATAAAGGCTTATGAGTGAATATGAATAGAATAGCGTTGTCAAATTCATTCTTTTCATGAACTCGGATCAATCTAGCACAAGCTTACTCTAGAATTCGGGCCTGGATTTTGCCCCGTCCATTTAGTTTTATTGAATATTTCAACATGCAAAAGTGTAATTAGTGTATATTTGAGCAATCACGGTATCCATATGACCATCATCATCACATTTATTCATTTTTGGGGAAAGAAAAATGAGCAAATAATGGGGAGCCAATTAATAATAACCCGTTGTGTTGAGGAAAATGATGGCGGAGGTGGCAGTTTGATGGTGATGGTGGAGTGAATGTTGGATTGCTTGAGCGAGCTAAAGGTTCAATTTCACTCTGAATGCTTGAGGGAACTGCTGTTTTTGACGCGATGGTGATGCCTAGTTGTGAGGAGGCATTGGGTTGGAGGTAGTGGCGATGATGTGGATGGTGATGGGGGTGGCCGGCGAAGGATATGGATTTAGGTGAAACTGAAGCACGATTTGAATTGAGGTGGCGGTGGTGATCAACAGTAGATAGGTGGGTAGTGGATGGTGGATGATAGTTCGTGCTGTCCTCATACTTACTGCCGGTGGATGGCGCCGATGTTGGGTGGATGAGGTGGAGCCGTCTAGTGATAGTGGTTTTGGGTGGATAGTAGTGGTTGCCAGCGGCAGCTGTGACGCTTCTAACATTTCATATGTATCATCCGTCATCCCAAAACATTTTAAAACGTTCCCAATGAATGGATTTCATCCATATCTCTGTTAGTTGATCCAGAAATTAGACTTTGACACATATTGATCAATTATAAAATAACAAAATGGTAATTTTTTATTTTTTACATTAAAAAAGTTAAATAAAAAAAATAAAGAAGAAGAAGAAGAAAATAAAATAAAAAGGATCCCTCACCCTCAATGCCCCCCCACCCCCAATCCAAAACCAAAAAAAATCCAATGACTAGACAGAAGATCAAGAATTTTGATCTACGGATGAAAGAAGATGGATGGGCATAAAAAATTTAGGCGTCATTTTCCAGTTGATTGATAATGGATTTTTTTTTAGATAATTTAGAAAAAAAGAAAAGAAAAGAAAAAGAAAAGGGTTTATGATCTAACCCATCGGATTTAGATTTTAGAGTGAGATTTTTGAAATTGAAGCTTCTATCTTCGATTCAATTACGCAAAAATAGACATGGAATTGAGTAGACTAATTCGACGGAAAATGCATAATTCAAAAGTAAGAAGTTATTATTTTTTTTAAGGCATAATATTATTTTATTGTTTAAAAATTAATTTTTTTAGAGAATAAGATTCGAAGAGATACTAGACATGTCGCGAAATAAAATAAAATGCAAATTAAATGTGAACACTAGCTTGTCACGGTCGTATAATGCGAGTGGTGATCGAATTACATTTAAATAACCAAAATCAAGCATTGAGGTGGCGGTGGTGATCAACAGTAGATAGGTGGGTAGTGGATGGTGGATGATAGTTCGTGCTGTCCTCATACTTACTGCTGGTGGATGGCGCCGATGTTGGGTGGGTGAGATGTAGCCGTCTAGTGATGGTGGTTTTGGGTGGGTAGTGGAGGTTGCCGGCGGCAGCTATGGCGATTGGCTGGAGAGGTTTTGATTTTGGGGAAGGAGGAGGTCCGAATGGATTGTGGATTACCGAGGTGGTGGAGGTTGTGGAATTGATGGGGCCGACGGATTTGGGCAAAGATGGGCAACCGGGGTTAGGTAGTCGACGACTTCAGATTATGGTTGGGGTGAGGTGGGGGTTCAGTCAGGGAAGAAGATGAAGATTGACTATTTTCTTTTTTTAGTGTAATTTAATTGTTAATAATATAGAAAAATAATGTTAATTCTAAATATACCATTTTACCCTTTTTAATTCAGTTAAAATAGGTCAAAATTTATTTTTCTTGGTCAACTAACGGTCAAACGGACGGTTTCCTTCCATTTGAACCCCCGGTACATATTTTTAAAAGGTTTGGTACCGTAAGTGGCACAAACTAAAAGTTTGGGCAAAGTCTGCTAATAAACGAAATGTTTGGTACCTCGGCTGCAATTTTCCCTAAAAATAATGGAGACCAAACAATGACTTATAATAGTGAATTTTCGGAAAATGCATAATTCAAAAGTAAGAAGTTATTATTTTTTTTAAGGCATAATATTATTTTATTGTTTAAAAATTAATTTTTTTAGAGAATAAGATTCGAAGAGATACTAGACATGTCGCGAAATAAAATAAAATGCAAATTAAATGTGAACACTAGCTTGTCACGGTCGTATAATGCGAGTGGTGATCGAATTACATTTAAATAACCAAAATCAAGCATCAAAAAATCGATTCATACCGTCTCCACCACCCACCTCAGTCGCCATCCAAATAGGACTCGCGTACGACTTCACCGTCAAAGCTCTTGCCATATAACATATATCAATATACCAGCATCGTTCGTACAAACACACAGAGACTCAAATTTATAATCCACAACGTTATCGGTCTAGTCGGGTGAAAAATCTGCCTAATTTATCCAAGAAATGGAGGTGAGAGCCAGAGCACCCGGAAAAATTATACTCGTAGGTGAACACGCAGTGGTTCACGGATCCACTGCTGTGGCTGCCGCCATCGATCTCTACACTTACGTCACTCTTGGCTTCCCCACGCCTTCTGGTATCTCCCTCAGTTCTGAATCTCTCAGCTTCTACTGTTGATTTTGATTGTGAAGTTTTGCTTTTTGTGTTGGATTCTGATAGAATATTTTATGAATTCTAGGAACTCGGTCTTGTGTGGATACCGTTTTGCAATTCGTATTTTATTCTGACTAGATTTTATTTTATTTGAAATTTATTGTTCCCTTTATGGATTCTAGCATTTGAGTTTGTGTGGATACATTTTTGTTTTTGTGTTCAGATTTCCGTTAACGAATTGCGGCTATTGTCAGCCTGGATAATTTTTGCTATTCCTATTTGATTCTGATTAATTATACTGCAATTTTCTCTTGGCCTAATGAATTCTAGCAATCGGGTTAAATACATTTTTGTGGAAAATGCATAATTCAAAAGTAAGAAGTTATTTTTTTTTTTAAGGCATAATATTATTTTATTGTTTAAAAATTAATTTTTTTAGAGAATAAGATTCGAAGAGATACTAGACATGTCGCGAAATAAAATAAAGTGCAAATTAAATGTGAACACTAGCTTGTCACGGTCGTATAATGCGAGTGGTGATCGAATTACATTTAAATAACCAAAATCAAGCATCAAAAAATCGATTCATACCGTCTCCACCACCCACCTCAGTCGCCATCCAAATAGGACTCGCGTACGACTTCACCGTCAAAGCTCTTGCCATATAACATATATCAATATACCAGCATCGTTCGTACAAACACACAGAGACTCAAATTTATAATCCACAACGTTATCGGTCTAGTCGGGTGAAAAATCTGCCTAATTTATCCAAGAAATGGAGGTGAGAGCCAGAGCACCCGGAAAAATTATACTCGTAGGTGAACACGCAGTGGTTCACGGATCCACTGCTGTGGCTGCCGCCATCGATCTCTACACTTACGTCACTCTTGGCTTCCCCACGCCTTCTGGTATCTCCCTCAGTTCTGAATCTCTCAGCTTCTACTGTTGATTTTGATTGTGAAGTTTTGCTTTTTGTGTTGGATTCTGATAGAATATTTTATGAATTCTAGGAACTCGGTCTTGTGTGGATACCGTTTTGCAATTCGTATTTTATTCTGACTAGATTTTATTTTATTTGAAATTTATTGTTCCCTTTATGGATTCTAGCATTTGAGTTTGTGTGGATACATTTTTGTTTTTGTGTTCAGATTTCCGTTAACGAATTGCGGCTATTGTCAGCCTGGATAATTTTTGCTATTCCTATTTGATTCTGATTAATTATACTGCAATTTTCTCTTGGCCTAATGAATTCTAGCAATCGGGTTAAATACATTTTTGCTATCATTATTTCATTCTGATTAATTAGAATATTTTATCTGCAATTTTCTCTTCTATTAATGAAATTCTGGCAATTGGTAGGATGGATACATTTATGCCATTGGTAGTTGATTCAGATTAATTAGAATAATTCATCTGCAATTAAGATATATGAACTGTGTTGGTAACTCCCTGAACTTAGCAAAATTTTCCAAATCCACAATGTAAAATTGTCTCTTACAATGTGCAAATAAAATCATGAAATGCGCCCCCCTTTGGGCTCCATTCTCCAAAAAACACATGTTTATTTTTCTTATTTTCAGCCATACAGGTCAAAGCTCTTGCCATATAACATATATATACCAGCATCGTTCGTACAAACACACAGAGACTCAAATTTATAATCCACAACGTTATCGGTCTAGTCGGGTGAAAAATCTGCGTAATTTATCCAAGAAATGGAGGTGAGAGCCAGAGCACCCGGAAAAATTATACTCGTAGGTGAACACGCAGTGGTTCACGGATCCACTGCTGTGGCTGCCGCCATCGATCTCTACACTTACGTCACTCTTGGCTTCCCCACGCCTTCTGGTATCTCCCTCAGTTCTGAATCTCTCAGCTTCTACTGTTGATTTTGATTGTGAAGTTTTGCTTTTTGTGTTGGATTCTGATAGAATATTTTATGAATTCTAGGAACTCGGTCTTGTGTGGATACCGTTTTGCAATTCGTATTTTATTCTGACTAGATTTTATTTTATTTGAAATTTATTGTTCCCTTTATGGATTCTAGCATTTGAGTTTGTGTGGATACATTTTTGTTTTTGTGTTCAGATTTCCGTTAACGAATTGCGGCTATTGTCAGCCTGGATAATTTTTGCTATTCCTATTTGATTCTGATTAATTATACTGCAATTTTCTCTTGGCCTAATGAATTCTAGCAATCGGGTTAAATACATTTTTGCTATCATTATTTCATTCTGATTAATTAGAATATTTTATCTGCAATTTTCTCTTCTATTAATGAAATTCTGGCAATTGGTAGGATGGATACATTTATGCCATTGGTAGTTGATTCAGATTAATTAGAATAATTCATCTGCAATTAAGATATATGAACTGTGTTGGTAACTCCCTGAACTTAGCGCAAATAAAATCATGAAATGCGCCCCCCTTTGGGCTCCATTCTCCAAAAAACACATGTTTATTTTTCTTATTTTCAGCCATACATTTTTCAATAAAATAATATTACATGTAACCCCAAAACTTTTCCTCATTTTCAAAGACACATTCTTCAAGTTCAAAATATTATTATTCAAAAAGACTAAAATTTATTTTTAATGGAGCCCAAACAAGTGCGTAATTTAGATTTCATTATACTAGCAAATTAAATGAATTAATAATTAACATGAACACGTGTTATTCTTGTTTACTAAAAGAGCCGAGAGTTAATAATGATCCATAGCTCTTCTGCTCTTGGCTTGACTCATCTATTCATTTACATCCCTAATCTGAGCTTCGCTGAGGGAAGAAGTGTAAGTGGCAAAACATTAAATGATAACATTTGAATCCTGAAACTTGTTTGTTATAGTCAAAGTTGACCTTTTTGGAAGTTCATGTCAAAATATCAAAGATTTCATGATAACTATCACCAAATGGACATTTTTCATGAATACTATTATTAAAATGGTTTTAAAGTTGTCATCAATGCCTTTATAATGCACCGAGGCATGAGCATATATTTTGGATGGTAGAAATTGTAGGTTTTACATTTTATTTTTTTTGTCTTCTTCTTCAATTTGTTAATTTTGGCCGGTTTCCGATGGACGTGTTTGGTAGACACTTAGATTGGAATATACGAAAGTCAATTCAAACTTTAGTGGATCTCTTCATGTTCCTCTGATTACACCAATTATAACATAGAAAAACGTACTTTATGAGAATTTAGAATTAAAATGGAAATATCTGGAGGATTAAGTTTACTACTACTACAACTTGGTCAGTTTATATTGAATTTTTCAGAACGAACTAATCCTCAACCAGCAAATTTTCCAAAAGTGAACCGAAGGAAATGTTACTTTCTCTTCCATTTGTAAATAATGTTTTAGATCATTTAAAATGTATGATATGGTTCTTGATGTGAATAACATCGATTGGTAGACATGGTTCATTATACATCATTTCATCATGCTTGATGGTTTTTTTGTTAATATGTTGAGCTTTTATCATATGATAGTTCTGGTTTCTCCCTCCCACTTACGGATATTTTTTTGGACATCAGATAATGATGATACACTAAAACTGAATCTCAAGGATGTGGACTTGGAGTTTTGTTGGCCAGTTGGAAGAATTAAAGAAGTTCTCCCTGATCTTGGTAGCCATACCACTTCTTCGCCGTCGTCATGTTCATTAGAGACCATCAAAGCAATTGCTTCTCTAGTAGAAGAACAAAATATTCCCGAAGCAAAAATTGGACTTGCTTCGGGTGTTTCAACTTTTCTGTGGCTATACACGTCCATTCATGGGTATGTAATTTGAATTTGATTCATGGGTGTAGAATTTGTGTTGTCTGCATCGAACAGTTGCAACATCTGATATGGTTATTTATTATTATTATTTTTGCTTTATCAGGTATAAACCTGCTAAAGCAGTGGTCAATTCCGAGCTGCCTCTGGGCTCTGGCTTGGGTTCATCTGCTGCCTTCTGTGTTGCATTGTCAGCTGCACTACTTGCTCTATCTGATTCTGTGACACTTGATTTTAGTCACCAGGGATGGCAAATGTTTGAGGATAGTGAGCTGGAACTAGTAAATAAATGGGCTTTTGAAGGTGAAAAAATAATCCATGGGAAGCCATCTGGGATAGACAACACAGTGAGCACATATGGTATGTAATACAATTAATTGCATATGGCAACGATCATTGGCTTTTCATCTATGATAAAATCTGATAAAATGAGTGTAGAAATGGTTCAATTTAATTAGTTAACTGAGAAACATATCATGTCACTTCCTCTTAGAACTTCCTAGGATACTATTTTTTTTTTGCAAAAAAAAAAAAAAAAAAAAAAAACTCGATAGAAAAATGTGTTGTTAAAAAATAAGAAAAAAATTTGAGTCTCCATACAATATTATTTTACTGAAGAATGTGTAATTTAAAAAAGAAGATAGAAAATATATTTTGTAATAATTTGGATCCTATCTTAGAAATTAATATTAGTATTTTAATTTCAGTGAATGGGTGTAAATAGTTGGATTTATCTTTAGAAAACTGCCAGGAATGCTACGACAAAATTATGTGAATGGGATTTTTCCTGTGTTTGTGTAATGCTTTATCACTGTGGAATAGCTGTAGATTTGTGGACTTTGTTGTTTAGACTAGTTCGGATGATCTAGTACTTGCCAGACTACTGTGTTTGGTCTCTTTGTGGGGTATTGTTGCTTTTGGTTGGTGGGGATGGGGGTGGGGGTGGGAGTGTAGGGAAATTGCATGATCTACAGAGAGAAGACTAATAGGAACTTGTATAGTTGTGGATTGTTCCTAGCGGAGATCCTTAGTTCTTATTTTATTTTGTTAGGGGGTTCTCAGTTCAATTCATCTTCTTTAAATGAAAAATGGTTGAGAAAACAAATAAAAATGATGACTTTTAACTCATCGCTTCAGTTGTTGGAAACAAGACACAGTCGGCTCAAGGAGTTCAATCACTCATAGTGCCAGCATAATCACTGTTTGGCTACACGTTCTGTCAGAAGTGCTCGACTTCAAGAGATTTATAGTGTTAAGTTTATATTTGAAAATCATAACTAGCATGAAAACTCATCAATCATATTATAGGGGATTGGAAATCAAATCATAATTAAAGGATATAAGAGTAAATTATGAAAAATAGTTAGGGATGGGAGACCATGATTTCAAAATCTTTTAATTGTTCTTTCCTAAATGGGTTTCTCAGGGCTTTGATCTTATCCAAATGCCCTTTCTTGTACCTCCGCTAAACACCAAATTTCTTAAAAGGACATTCCGAGTCTCCCCAACGCCACCTGTGTCTTTTACACTAGTTTACTTTTTTTTTTCTTTTACTATTTATGGTTTTAAATTTCATTTTAAATTAGGCGAGATATTGCAGAGCTGATACTTCTATATTTTGTCAAATGACTTAGCTTACTGATAGTGATGGGTGAAGTTTATATTTGTTAGACTAATGAAGTTTATGTAACAGGCAACATAATCAAATTTAAGTCTGGTGAATTGACACGCATCAAGACGAATATGCCACTTAAAATGCTCATAACTAACACAAAAGTTTGGAGAAATACAAAAGCTCTAGTTGCTGGTGTTTCTGAGAGGACAATAAGGCATCCCAAAGCTATGGACTCTATATTTTCTGCAGTTGATTCCATCAGCAGTGAGTTGGCTTCAATTATCCAGTCACCGGTTACAGATGATCTAGCCATAACTGAAAAGGAGGAAAAACTAGAAGAACTGATGGAGATGAATCAGGGCTTGCTCCAGTGCATGGGGGTCAGCCATGCTTCTATTGAAACCGTGCTTCGATCGACATTAAAATACAAGCTGTCGTCCAAATTAACAGGGGCTGGTGGCGGAGGCTGCGTTTTGACACTACTTCCAAACCGTATCCTTTTGGTTATTCTTCGCTTCATTTCCCCATTTGCTGCTTAAATTTATCCACTTCTGAATCTTGATAGATCAACTTTTACTTCAAACAGAAGTTTTTTCTTAATTGCATTGACTCAGTACTATCAGGAACAGTTGTCGACAAAGTAATTGCGGAGTTGGAATCATGCGGGTTCCAATGTTATATTGCGGGAATAGGTGGAAGAGGCATGGAGATAAGCTTTAGTGGATCTTCCTAAACTTGGTCCAGAGATTAAGAATAAAGCTCCAAGTACACGAAAAATTTAACGGAATGTGTACCGATATGGACGTGACAAAATGTGTTGTCTGTAAGAAATTTCTGTCAAAAATTTTGTACTTGTAGCATGATTGAGAGATTAACTGTTAGATTTGTCACATCATCTGTTAATCATTGATGCCTGTACAACAAATTTCTTGAAATTTTCTGTTTTCGTTTATGTAAAAGGTTACTGTTTGAAGAACCTGTAATTGGAGTGAAACTCGAATTGAAATTTATTTGTGTTCATGCCTTGATATTTAAACAGTGATGATATTCTTACTAATGCAATTTTGAGGAACACATATCTTTGCATGTGATTTTGTAATGATATGGTGAGATTTTTCTTTTGTTATTAAAATTTTTTAATATTAATTGTAGATTGATTTCTATTTCTTTCTATTTTATCTATTAGATCCTTCAAGGGACGACTTTGGAAGTTACTCTATAAATACTCGTTTTTCCAGCAAATTTCACAAAAGCATTCAACGTCAAAGTCCTGCAATTTTTTCTTTTTGGATCGAAGGTTCCTACTGATTTAAGCTCGGCCAACAAAAAATATTGAGTCATCTTTTAAATCTTCTATATAAATTTTCTTTTCCTTTTCTTTTATTTCAATTTATACCAACATTTCAGCGTCTAGATTTAAAAAAAATAAAAAATAGTAGAAAGGCCAAAATTATCATTATTATTATTCACTTTAGTTGTGATTAATTAATTAGGTAAACCAAAATTATGTAGACGTGCACATCAATCACATATAGTGCTTGTTCAAGAGAACTTAAAAAGGTTGCTAATAAGTTGAGATCAAATTCAATCATCAATTTTAGCAACATACATATGATCCACAATTATTATTCACTTTTTAACGACTTATTTCTCAGGACCCACAATGTCTTTTTGTCAAAATCGACCTTTAACTCTTCTAAACAAGTGCTTAAAGACACCCATTCTAAATTATCGTACAAACACCGAAACACCAAAAATTGCATTGCAAATATTATTTTACTGGGGGGAAAATATATGTAGTAATTTAAATAGAATTATTCTTTAAAAGTTTATATGCAATAATTTTACCGAGTGGCATTTCTAATTGATTTTTTAAAAAGAAAAATACTAGTCGGCAGAGCTAGCACCCGGCGAGGGGGCGCGGCCGCGCGTGCTGGCTCCGCCGGAGTCTTTAGTGGCCGTCGGGACTGTCGGGTTGACAGCAGGCGCCTGCGCACAATCGATCGAGTTTTTAAGGCTATTTCTGTAATTTTAGTAACTCCTCATCAGTCCACAAAGCAAATAGCAAGTGATGTACTAGGCTGTTGACTATGAACGTACTCCTTTAATTGCTACCAGCTGCGAAATGGGATCAGATTTAATGGTAGACCGAAAGCAAGGAAGAAGACGACCTGTTTTTTTTTTCCTCTTTCGATTGATCTAACCAGAAATTGGGCCTTTAAAAAAAAAAATTAGGCCCAAATGAGGAAATTAAATCCAATATGTCGGTCCATGATATATTGGTGTTATAGTTAATTGATATTTCCCATTTTCCCCTATTTGAAATGGCAGCAAACAGCAAACCCTTAGTCCCTCACCCTTCAATTTTTATATTTCTATTCGAAGCAGTAGCAGCAGCTAGAGGTGATGACCGTGTGCTGGTGTGCGAAGTCTCATAGGCGAATCTTCGACGGACTCCAAGGACTAGAGAGGCGACTGGTGTTTGGCGAGGCCGAGCAACTGAGCGAGCAGCCAGTATTGTGCAGTCAGCAGTAGTGATCGGTGAGTTCAATACTTGAAGTCGAAGACTTGAATATTTGAATTGTTTTGGTTGTCTCACTTGTCTGAAACTCTATAATCTTTGTTGACTGTTTTCCTTGTATGTTGACGTACTGTATTTGTTGATTTGTGCTTGTGCAATTGCAATTCGTCGACCCTTTGTTGTCTGTTGACGGTGTTGAGAGTTGAGTGTGTTGAGTACTTAGGTGACTTGAGTTTGTTGGAGACTTGGAGTGTTGATTGACTTGAGACTTGAGACTTGAGTGTTGAACATTTTATTGCATTTTACATTTTAGTACATTTACATATATATCGAACAATTTTTGATATTATTTAATCAAATTTTAATATGATGGTTGATAATCGGCGATCAACGGTCAAAGTCAAAGTCAATGCCCTAGCTGAATGTGGAACCTAGATACGTCCCTGCTTACAAACCGTCGTCGGGAACCAATCGCAGCCGTCCCTTCCCATATGACTGTTCAAAATAAAATGACGTAACTCATTACGAGAAGTCGCGTATGATGGGATCAGGGATGAAATTCTACCATTTTCAAAAGTTTCCTCCACTATAAATGTACACCTCCATCGCCATTGTTCTCATCTTCAATATAAATGATCAATCATGAAGAACACCATCACTGGAGGTGCCGAGGGATCTTCTTCCAACCTGCTGTAATACTTCTCCCAATGTGGATTCTTCTCCATTACAAAGGCCACCCATGGCCCCACACGTAATGGGCCGTCCAGGACACTCTGCCTTCTGTGCCTATAGGCCACAAGGCCCACGACATCCTGATTAAAGCGACCCTCTACGTGGCAGAGTAGTAATACTGCTTCTCCGTTGGAAAGCCCCCCCGAGCTCCACCTGTAATGGGCCATTAGGGAAGCTGGGCCTTTGTTGGAAAATAACTAGTTACAGTTTACAGTAACTTGTAGAACCTTGTAAAACAGTGAAATGCCGAAAATAAAACTTATCGACGGATCGATTTTCATGACAACATGATATCTTAAAGGGAAGTTATCCACATTTAATTGCTGTGACATTTGTGGACTCCCAAGATACAAAGATCAACAAACCACTTATACAACAATTACGAATGGTTTCAAACTCTCAAGTATACTCCAATAAATATATGTAAAAATATAGAACTCAAATATGAAAAATTAAAGAACCAGAAAATGACGATTTTGTTTTTTTTATGTAATTTTTTCAAAACCAGATGGATGTTTATACAGGTAGAATGGACATAACAACCTTCACCATGATCCAATAATATTTGTAATTTATAATGGTTTGTGAGTAATGGGTTGTTGAAAAACGATCACACTATACTAACTAATTTGACCTATTAAATAATTCTAAAAATAATTTAAATAAATAAAAAATATTATTTTAATCAACGAAGCCCAAAACCCAATCAAGGGCTTTTTAATTATTGCGTGAGATGTAACAAGTGGCGGATTTAGCACCCAACAAGGGAGAACTTTCGCCCGTGCTGGATCTATTGAAATTTACAATCTTGGCCATCGGAGCTCAGTTGTAGTATTGCATACACAGTGAATTTGCATGGAAGAAGCATCACGGGGGAGAAGATATTTCTTTAGTTGGACTTTTTAAAAAATTGAGAATTGGAAAGTAAACAAAATTTAGTAGCAAGGAAATTACAAAGATTAAGAGAATTGGAGATGTCAATTCAGAATTTATAGGCCATGTTTCTTTATTTATAAATGAGAGTTCCTTTAATTCATTAATATTTATAAAATAAATATTTTTTTTCTAAATATAACAATTCAAAAATTAATTAATCTACCATGCACAATTTCAATCCCAAACCCTAATTATTTCTTTCCCCTCTCTCTCTCTCTCTCTCTAAACTTCCTATATCTCTATTCTTTCTTTTCTCATCATTTCTTTAACTTCTCGCCGACGATGAGGGTTACACACAACAATCTGGAGATGTAGATCAACCCAAATAGTTGTCCGACATAGATCGTATGTGGATCGGGCGACCCTGCTACACGAGATATTGCACGCAGCAAGGCGTCGTTTCCCTATGGGTGCTGCAGATTAGGGGTCCTTTTCTCCACTTTTTTTCTAGTCAAAGATGGTTGTGATGTGCAGTGGTGCGCTGGTTGGGTAAGGTTTGGTGGTGATGTGCAGAGATGTGTGCAATGGGCGGTTGGGTGCAGTACTATGTGCGATGGGTTGTTGGGTGTGGTGCTGTTGTCCAGTGGTTGGGAATGGTGCTGTATGCGATGGGTGGTTGGGTGCGGTGCTGTTGACCAATGGTTGTGTGCTGTGATGGTGTGGTGTTGTGTACGGTGGTGTTTGTGGCATCATGATGGCTCTAGTAGGTGTATAGGATGCGGTGCTGTTAACTAGTGGTTGGGTATGGTAATGTGTGCAGTTGGTGGTTGGGTGCCGTACTATTGACCAGTGATTGTGTTTAATTCAACAACAAAACCACTCATACCTGGTAATGCAAGGGAGGCCATCGAAAAGCTACTGAACATTGTTAATATTTTTGGCATTGGGATTAGGGGTGTAAGCGGTCCGATTTTACCGATTTTTGATAGAGTTTCAAACCAAACTATTTAAACCGGTTTGAGAAAAATCAAAACCTAGACCAAACCATTTTGAACGGTTTGAAAAAAGCTCAAACCTAAACCGAACGGTTTGTTCAGGTTTTAAACCGTCGGTTTCGCCATGGCCTTTGTTGAACTGTTATTTCATGTGTGGGATTCATCCTCCTCTCCAACGGTCAATTTTCTCATTATGATGATATGAAAAATATTGCTCAAACATGGGCTAAATATATCTATTATAAATTTAAATACCAACTAAATCAAAGTGAAATCACAGTAAACTAAAATATAGTTTTTTTCATTTTTGTTCACCTTTTATACGCTAATGACGATACAATAACGTTACAATACAAGTCTACTAAACTAGATATAAGGTCCAAAAAATATAATGATATCCAACAAGACCTTGTAATCATCATATCTGAAAAAAAGGATACTGATTAGACAAAGAGAATAACCAACCACAATAATAAAGCAATTGTTTATAATATTTAAACATAACAATTACATAAGTTTACGTTTGTATGATGTTGCGAAATACATTTAATTTCAGATTTTTACCTTAGTTTGCTCAAAAACATTATTGATCTGGAACTTTATTCGTAGCAAATATTATCACCGAATGTCTAGGATTTCTTTGTTTTCGATTTGGTATAATGTATTTCAATTCAACTTTGAAGAGGCGTGAAAAATCTGAAAAAAAAAGTGTGTAGTGCTGGTGGCTCAAGACTGTATTGGGTGTCTATTGGAGTTTATCTAAATTCTGAAGAAAAAAGGGCTTTTAATAGATTATATTAGTTTTGAGATTATTAGATATAAATTAGGAATAATAGATAATAATAATAATATATTTGTATTATAAAATTAAAAATTGACAAAAATATCTACAAATGATAAAACTATTGAATTTTACATAGTTGAATAAATTTTCAAAAATGTTCATTTTT